AGCCACATGAGCGGCCGCTTTTATTTATTGCCTCGGCCTTACGCGGCGTTTTTACTCCACGGCCCCTCATCTCGATCGCCTCATATTTATTCTTGTATTGTAGCTTGACAAACTCAGCTGATCTTGTTCGCCATGTTGGAATATGTATTGGGCTCTTATTGCAAAGAATACTGTGGCCTATCTCATTCAATCCACGGCCCCTATCTAGATCCCAGACCAACGCTGAATCCAGATGCAAGAATACCAACGTGCCTAAGCCTCTATCTACTCTCTTAAGTAAATCAATGCGGCTGCTCACATGTCAATTGAAAACTTGTCAAAATGGCCCGTGCTCCCCGCATCCCATGGCCGCCCCTCGAAGATTTTCTGTGGAAGATTGTCTATACAGCCCTCCTCACGGCCTGCCAGGGTTCTAAAAGGGTGCCTCTTTGGGCAGCTTCACTGCTCCAATCAAATGTGGAAAGCCAAAAATGTCTGTCAAAGGCTTGCTTATGAGCAAACCCCACCTGCAGCGTCCACAAGCTCTTGAAGGCGAATCGGGTATTTGGCCTTACGGCGGCATTTCCGCACCGCGCAGGCGTGGAGATTGGAGAAGAGGGCTCCGGGAATGCCATGCTAGCTGGGCTGGTTGTTACTGTCCTGTTCGCACAACAGCCCCTGAGCGTGGAGCAAGGACGGCAGTGCCAGGATACGGGAAACACAAGTCGAGGGACGCTGCAGCGCGTCGAGCTTGTGCCGCTTCTTGACCACATTGACTAAGGGCAGGATGCATCCCGACCTCTAAGCCCTCGACCCTAGATCCTAAGGCCAGAACCCTAGATCCTAAACCCTCAACCCCAAATCCTAAACCCAAAACCGGCCTTTCCAATCTCCAACTTCAGAAGCAAGTGCGGGGTGTGGCGAGGTTTAGGTATCATAATGGGGAAGGTTTAGGGTTCAGGGCGATGAAGGAGTATGATGTACTCTGAATGACTACGGAACTGCATGACATCAGTATAATACCAAGCTACCGATTTGGGGGTATGTGAGCCATAGTCTAAACTCCTATATCCCCCTTTATTGCCCATTCCATACTCCCCTCCTAGTCCTACAGTGTAACCCCCTATATAACCCATCTAAACCCTAAACCCTAGGGGCATGTAGGTTCATGAACCAGCTTCGGCACCTGAATCCGTACTAAATGCCCAAGACGTCGCTTAAACCTCAACCCAAAGGTTCATTGGGAGGTTCATGGGACTTCGTAGAGATATATATCTGGGCCTATAACCTATAGCCTACCAATAATCCCTGTAAATGCTTCCATACAGTTTACTCCAACAAGTGGGGCTATAACCCACTGACCGGCACTTTCTAAGTCCCATGAACCTCCAAGTAAACTTTAAATAAACCAACGTATTACCCTATATGAGCAAAAAAAGAGGGTATACCTCCGCTCAAATCGGCCATGAGGTAGGTTCCCATTGTTGGTTGGGGTTTAGGGTTTAGGGTTTAGGTTGGGAAGTGTATTCCCAATGGCCCCTCTTGTCACAAGGATCCTTAGAGAAAAACACGCTAAACCCTTAACCACCGGAACCTGAATCCATGACCCTAAATCCAAATCCCAACAATCCCAAGCCCGAAGCCACGCTGCCCCTATATAAGCCCAAAGGATGCCCAAGTCCCATGGCCCTCAGCCCAAGGTCCTCACACCCACACGATTTAGATTGAGGGCTTCAGCGTTTGGGGTTAGGGTTTAGGGTTCAGGTCCCGTGACCAGCAACGGTCAACCTATACTAGGGGTCATATCCAGGGCTGTAGATGGTAGTTTCCCACAATAGCGGGACCTCAATATATATAGACCCCCATGCATTATAATCCTTATTACAGGAACCCCAAGCAGGTACCCCTTATTTGGGCTTTCATAGTGTAGCCATTACGCAACTTTCCCAGAATGAGGGGGCGGTAGCCAACCTTGAGCCAGCATCCTCAACCCAAAGGCCAAAAATGCGAATCCTGCCAATGCCAAAATCCTGAAGCCTGATTTAGGTTTTAGGGTTTAGGGTTTAGGGGTTTAGGGTTCCCCCCTCTCCCTCTCTCTCTTGAAGCAGAACAGTCAGAGTTCGGCAACTTTGGCAAGTTCTGGGTACCTAGATTCTAAACCCCTTGCAATATGTGAGTGTTGGCTTCCCTTTTTTCTTGCCGAAGAGGACTATGCGACTGCGCTGCGTGCGCATGTCATGGGGGTTTCTGAAAGCAGCTGCCGTCATCAGCGACCCCCTATGAGCCCTTGCAATCTGATGATCTCTTCGTGCGCACCCCTGTATCTCCCGACCCCAAACCCTAATCCCTTCACCCTGAATGTTCCCCAATGTTCTTTGATCGGGTCAACCCTAGTCATGAAGCCTGAAACCCTACTCAGGTTGCTCTTTTGTACTCCCTCGCCCGTACGTTTAACATCCCCGCCGCCCAAAGGGGGTAAATGTAAGAGCAAACAGAAACTACTAAATCGTTCAGGTTTAATCTTCATTCATCAGGAAAACTAGCCAACGGGGACCCGCCTTTGGCAGCAAACCCCGTGGTGCCTTGCGGTCTTGTTGCAGGAAGCTGCCGGAGAAATCGCGGAAGTGGACGTCCTTGAACGGACTGTTGCTGAAGCGTGCACGGGGCAAATTTGGATTTCGGGCTTAAAAGTAAAAGCCCAGTTACAAGTGTTACAAGTAGTTACTAAGTCGCATGGACCGCCAAGTACAGCAACAGGGGGTATCAACAGCAGCTGCAATCATGGGTTCTCCTACCACCCTCCTACACTACCCACCTAGGCTCACCAGGGTTGTCGGGATGATTAAGGCTAATTCAGGGGGAACCTAGGGCGGGGTAGTGTAAGGGGATAGCAGGCGAACCAATGATGTATTGGCGAAATTTCTAGTCTTTACGACCATGTTGGAGTTTAAGCTTGAGGGTTCAAGGTTTAGGATTGCGACCCCTAAACCCTAAACCCTAAACCCAAACCCTAAATCCTAAACCCTAAACCCTAAACCCTAAACCCTAAATCCTATACCCTAAACCTGTAATGTTCCCATTCTGGCTCGAAGGTGGCTCTGTAGTAACAGACTCGCAATTGAACGGCCCCAAAAGAGGATCCAGTGAGAAACCCTGAACCATGCATGAACGCCTAAGATCCGTATGTACCTGAACCCCAAAAGTATGTAGAATAATGGCCTTTTGGGCCATGTTCAGGTGTTTTGGGCCATTATTTCTACCTACTTTTGGGAATCAGGTAATGCCTGCAGAATTCCCATCTCCCCTTCTTAAGCATCCGAGCTGTGTCGTCTCCACGAGCGCTAGACACCTGCTTGCCACTAACGCCTCTGAAGGGCTTGGGCTGCGAAGGGGGCCACATGAGCCCACATTCATGCACTGGCTCCTTATTGGGGCATTGTTCAAGATGTTGGTTTAACACCTTCTGGGTGTTGATCTAACATGGTGAGAGCAAGATTTAAACATCATGTCCAACTGTGACCCAATCCCAAGTTCTGTGAAGTGTTCGCTACAAGAGACCGTAACTAGACCCTTGACCCATCCTGTGCTATATGGCTAGCCCTACCGACCACGGAGCATGTTGCTAGTAAGGCGAAAGTGGAAGAAAACTGCATCAGCCGTCACCCAAACTTATATGGAACCTGGAAGACAGCCCTGTACAGACATAGTCCTTCGACTTATGTCAAAGTGGAATTCCTAGATAGTTTGCAACCCTAAAACCCTAATGCCTAACACTATATATGAGCCCTGGACTAAATCTGTAGTATATCCCTTAATAGGTCCCCCCAAAACCCTATATAGTCCCCTATAGGTCCACCCCAAACCTAAATTTCGTCCGTAGCTCACATCACGTCCAAGGTTGGAAGTTTTGGCCCCTGGTGCGTGCCACTAATCCTGGGGTTCATTTCTACCTAGCGTGTGCTCTACCTCTTTCGGTGTCCTCTATACATGTATACATCTACACCCTGAAAGGCTCCTAGCTTCATCATAAAGGCTAAGGGTCCTCTTGACCTACATGGACGTTCAGGATATTTACAACCCAAGTATCATTGCAGTTGTAGACCAATATAACCCCCTGTAACCCCAACTTGGCTGTAGCTGGGACATAGCTACACTCATAACCCCCTAAACTCTAGAGCTTTAAGTCTACACCCCAGACCTCACACCCTAGAACTTAAAGCTTCAAGCCTAAACCCTAAACACTGAAGCCGATAAACACCACCAACCTAAACCCTATGAACCCCACGAACCTAAACCCTGAACCATAAAACCCTAAACCCTATAAACTAAAAACACTCAAAATCCTGAACCTTAGTTGTCGGTTTAGGGTTTAGGGTCTTAACCCCCTGAAACCCTGAACCCTCTACCAAAAAGCAGCAAAAAAGAGCCCAGTACCTGGCCTCGATCCGGATAGCGTCGTCCGGACCGCTGGTGCAGCCTTCGGGCCTCTTTTTGCTGAGACTTCAAAGGCCCCCTGAAGTAGATAGAATATTGGGGTATAGGGTTTGGAGTTCAGGGTTTAGGGTATAGGGTTTAGTCCAGGTTAATGTAGGCCCATGATTAACAAACCACCTCCTTTTTTATTTAAGGGCCTTGATATTAGGATCCCCATGAAAATCCCTATTCAGGGGAGGGGGTTTATTGATCATGGGTAGGGGTTAAAGTGTAGGGTTTCGGGTTTTACGATTTGAGGGTGTATACTTTATAGGGTTTAGGGGTTGAGGGTTGGGCATCTAGGGTTTAGAGTGGGGCTTTAGGGTCTAAGGTTTAAGGGTTTGGTGGCTAGGGTCATAATGGAGAATCGAAAGGGAGACCAAATGGACAATGAAATGGGAACTGGATTTTTGAAGGGGATGTAGGGCTTAGGATTAGGTATGTATATTACGAAACAAAAACTGGTGTTCTGAATAATGGTGATTTACAGGGACTCCCTTATATTGCGAGGTTATAGCCGGAGGGTCATGTAGGGTTGTAGTCCTTTTTGCACGGAATCCTGGGAAACCCTAAGCCCCAAAGCCACAATCATATTTACCTAAACCCCAAAGTATGTAAAACAATAGCCCTAAATCCATAATAACAGCCATAAAGGCAATTGTTATTCATACTTTGGGGGTCTATTTAGGGCTTTGGTCACTTTCTGCAGGCTCCTCTCGAGGACGACAACAGCTTGACAAGTTTGGGGTGGAGCGCCAAGGTCTGGGCCTTCGGTCCAGGGCCCAGGGCTTCAAAACCCTAAACCCTAAACCCAAACCCTAACGCTTGTGATTGTACAATTCTTAGATACCTTTCCCTGTTTTGGAGGACATGTCAGCTGCTATGGATCGAAACGAAGAAGGCGTCCTAAAGTCTCGAAAGCGCGGTTCAGAGCCGTTGACCCGGAATGCTTCCCTAAAACCCTAAACCCCTAAAACTCTAGTTTAGGGATTTAGGGTTTAGGGATTAGGGTTTAGGGTTTCCCTAAACCCCTAAACGCCTAAACCCCAAACCCCAGGACCCTAAACTTGCATCAGCGCTCAGAAAAAGAGTTTGGAGGACAACGTGATGCACTTCTAATCTGGCTTGCTGCCCAGGAGTTTAAACCAAACCACCATATTGGGGAAATCCTATTATTTACTATATACATATACACACACATTGTGGTAACTTAATTTCTAATCTGGTTTGCTGTTAACCAAGTTAGATTAAGTTACTACACTGGAGAGACCCTATTCTTTACCATATACCCACTATGGTAACTTCATTTCAGTTCCTTAACAACAACCCAGTAACTAATCCGCAAGCCATCATCACACGAAAAGGCTTCTAGTCGGTGTTCTCCAAACTTACTGGTGCTTAGCAGGGAATAAGGACATAGAACAATGGTAGTATATAGGGATTACACTCCTTTGTTCCCTACTAGCTACCCTAAACCCCTAAACCCCAAACCCAAAACCTTAAACCCCTAAACCCTAAACCCAAGCCCTAGAACCCAATACCATCCCTCAAACATGTAGCCAGCAAGGGGTCCTCTCAAAAGTCCAAGGTTTTTTGAGAGATATCGAATTAGTTTTGGATTAGTGGATTTTAGACTTTGCTCTGGCTACTATAATATCTCTCTATGTTTTATGCTCGGATTACTGCTTCCCTAACTACCTTTATTACTAACTATATAAACTCCTCCCACTGTACTATGTATTCATTTTACAGTAGTCAGTCAACAGTTCAAGAATCCAAAAAAGGTATCTTTAAAAACTCACGGAAGTTTTGATTTTCGAATCCCTCGGTGACTTCGGACTGGACGGACTTCCGAACTAGATCTGGCATAACTGGATACAAGCTTCATATAATTCCGGATATTTTTGATTTCATGTTGACAAGATATACAAGGAATGCTGAGATGCTGAGTAGCTATAAGGAAGGATCAAGAATCCCCAAGGATCGGCTACACTCACGATTGAAGTTGAAATGACTTAGTACTAGGTTCATGTGAAAAGCAGACATTCCGGTACTTGGTGAAACAACTAATCGCCAGCCGGAGTAGTCTATACAATTTTTTCATACAGCTGTCAGGCATTACAGGAAGTAGAGAAAACTATATTTCGATTTCAAAAAATTGTCTATATCAGATTGGAGCGCTCAGAATTCGGCAGATTCTTAATTGATACAAGGAAAGCGTCCTGAAAGCATGAAGGATCCTTTTGTATCAGCGGAGTTCCCATAAACATTGTTAACCGATTTGAAACTGAGGGACATTTCATCGTTCTTTGAAATTTGTTTTGCCAGCTTGGCTTTCAGTAATTCCATTCCATGCATAGCAAATCACATTCTAAGAAGTAATCGATTTTCCAGTCAAGTCTGCATGCTAACTGAAATTCAGCATTTCTGACTAGGTTTTGTGGAGGACCGAAGACGTTTTACCAGATCAGGTTGCAAAACCCCAGAATTTCCACATTTGTATGCAATACGCAGGGAGTATATAGGGATATGCAAGGAGCATAGGATTTAGGGGAGAAGTGAAGGCTTAAAACGTTGGCAGATTGCAGAAACCTGAAGATGCCAAGAAACAAAATAAGACTTCCAAAAAAAACATACATTTGAGTAGTTTTTTTGGTGGTTAAACCCAGTAAGATTATATTCGTTATACAAAATACTATACCCCAAAGGAGGAGATAATCTTACTCTATAATGGGTACCCTAGTATGCCCAAATAAAATACTACTCATTGGAGGTTATGGGTACGTGCTGCTCAAGGGAGTGGCCGCGTGTCTGGATTGCACGTTTTGATGGCCAAGCGCAGTCAGTGAGTAAAAGATTCTAAGCACTAGGCTTTAAGGCTTAGGGTTTCTAGATCCTGGAAACTAAGCCCCATTGTGACCCAACCCTAAACCCTAAAAAAACATGTTTTTACATACTTTTGGGGTCCAGGTATGGGCTACAGGGTGTATCCTGGAGATCGGTAGTTAAGGATTTGCGCGAAGTTGGGTAGCAAATAAATCGCAAAATTCGGCAACTTTCGGAGCGTGATGATTCTCCAACCTGAACTAGGGTTTTGGGCTCTTAGTATAGGTTTAGGGCTACCATTTTACATACATCTTGGGTTTAGGTAGCTTCTTCTGTAAAAGCTGCATATATATATATATATATAAGTGATGCTCAGTATCTACACTCACCAGCATTTTCCGCGAAACCCCAAATACACCAAGAGAGATCATGGACGAGCCCGACACCGCAAGCCCCAAGCCCAAAAATCAAGGAGTTTTCCTTTGTACCCTTGGGTTTTGGGTCCCTAAACCATGGAATATGGCCCTCAATAAGGGTGTTTGGGACCCAAAACTTAAGGGTACAAAAATTAAGGGTACAAACTTAAAGTCTTTGAACAATCTCACTCCAACCCTCACACCAGAACCCTATCACGTGCGGGGTGGTCAGAATTATGGTCTTTTTCTGGGTACACATGAGGACAAAGACTATATAAGGAAAATCTACTTTGAACCTGAAACCCTTAGCCCCTGCCTTTGCGATGGAGGGCAGTATGTCTGGTCGATCAGAATGCCTGCACATAAACAGGTTTGGGGTTTAGGAAAACGGCTATGGTTTAGGATTTGGGGAGCCAATACACAATATAGTCAATGGACACCCAGGAAAAACCTTAGGGACTATGCTATACTAACCAAGGGACTCGTATATCGACTCTTAATGGTCCTTGGTGAGCATAAGTTTGGCTGCATCTCAATGTACCCCAAACCCTGGCCCTCAAGCCTAAACCCTAAACCCTAAATCCCAAACCCTCAGCCATATAGTTTATATTGCTTCATGATGCGTCATGTTAACTTGGGGGGCTCGTATGGACGCTTGTCCAAACTCAGCTACCTCTAGGGATCCTTCCAGCAAGACAGGGGTTGGGGTGAGATGGCTCGAGTATAGGGTTTAGGGCTTTCGGGTTAGGCTTTATTTAGGGCGTAGGGGTTAGGCTTTATTTGGGGTTTAGAAGTCGGGGTTTGGGTTAGAAGTCCCAAAGGCGAACAGTTGCCTCCACGTCGCAACGTTTAGGGTTTAGGTGGAGATATCCCACAAATGGCATAAGCCGTGTCATTGGGACCTCAACTTTGCGGCCCTTCCGGATTCCCCTCCGAACACAATGCAGGAGGGGCCGGATGCGAGTGCAAAACTTATACAATGTACTTGGAGGGTCAAAGGGACTTAGTAAGCAGGTGAATAACCCCTACAACCCATATAGTAGACCCAATTACCCCCATCATTAACCTAGTTACTAGGTCCCGTGACCCTCCAAGTAGCGGAGCAGCGCTCCCAAAAACGTTTCAAACAGGGATTTTAGGGTTTGGGGTTTACGAAGTCCACACACGAAGCTATGAACCAGTGAAAACCCTGGGTCCCTGGTATGGGCCCTTAAGCGTCGGGTCCTTAGAGGCCTGCGTATAATGAAAGTATATACCTTTATGAAGCCCTAAACCGTAAACCTTACACCCTAAACGCTAAGCTAAGCCCATACGCTTAGACCCAACTAAGGGCCCACTGGTAGGACCCGAGGATGCAGGTTTGGGTGCAGGTGGTAGTGGTAAAGATGGTGCTCCTGAACCCGGCGATCATGAGAGCCCTGGGTGCAAGTGACTCTCGGCTTGCGGCTTAGGGTTCAGGATTCAGGATTAAGGATTAAGGGTTTGGGGTTTAGGATTAAGGATTCAGGGCGTAGAGTTTAGGATTAAGGGTTTAGGGCGTTGGGTTTTGCGATTGGGGTAGCAGCCTCAATAATCACCAATATCATGTTAAGGCCTATTTGAGGTACCTTGCACAGTAGTGATACAAGGAACCTGGTACCATAAAATTGGTAATTATTTGAGACCCTGAATTCAGCTAACTAATTGAAGCCCGATTGCAATCCGATGTACAATAGCGCCACAAAATGTGGAAAGTAAGACTGCAGGCTATTTCTGTTTGCAACTGGGTACCAGTTGGATAAAGATAAGTTTGATTGGGCCTTTGGCTTTCAAGACTTATGCTGCAACCTGCCTGCCCAAGACTCTTCCTAAACCTAAAACCCTTAACTCTTTCAGGAAGATAACTCTTAAATGCCTGGTTGGGCAAAAGGACACTTGGCAGCCAGACAACCATCATTCGCTGCTGTCTCTGAATCTTATTGAAAGTAGATCCTGTAGCCCGTACCCTCTCCAAAACTAACATAAAACACTATAGCCCGTTCCTTAAAGGACGGTCGTCTTTGCACTGCCCTTCTTAAGCTTCCATGTGGTAGATTCCCAGAGGGGGGGACCCCAGACCCCCATTTTGGGAAAGTCCCATTTTGGTCTTGGCGAGGTTCAGCAGCCGAAGCACCTAAATGAGCGATACTCTGGAGTCCTTAAAGGGGGGTGGGTTTAGGGTTTAGGTTCTTAACTACTTAAAAAGGGGGGCATATAGGGCATTGTATAGCATTAAGGGAGATACTAGGAGTTTAGACCATAGCTCAGATTGTAATCACACACCTTGGGTTGTATACAGTTTGGGTCAGAACAGGTTCCCATACGATTAGACTTCTGCAAGGTGTAAGTCCATGAATACTATTTCGAGTTTCAGTACACCGGGAAACCTCCCTGAACCCTCAAAGCAGCACAGATGTGACACCCGCTGAGGCAGCCCACCTGTGTTGACCTTCAGTGTCTTGAACATGCTGAAGGTCACCTGAGCACATATTTTGAAGGATTCAGGATTTCGGAATTTAGTGCCTGGGATGGGATGTAGGATTTGAGGGTTTAAAGTCACTGTTTGCGCGGTGGGGCTGGGGGTTCAAGCTTGACAGATTTGGGGGTCAAGGTCATTCTTTCCTAGTAAGACCGACTAGGACTATGTGGGTTGTTCTGAAAAAATGATGGGCCCCTTTTGGGTATATATTCTATTACAGCACCTAATATCTAGGTGTACCAAAATGGGACCCTAATTTTGGGAACTACCCATGTCTTTCTTGATGCAAGCCAGTGGACCCGATAGTTGGTCCGACCTTGTGGAACAGTCGCCTGTTGCCACAATGGTAGGTCTGGGGTCTAGGGTTTAGGGTTTAGGGTTTAGATGGTAGGTCTGGGGTTTAGAGTTAAGGGTTCAGGAGGGTTCCGCATTTGGAGTGGTCGAAGTATTAGCGGCTGCTTTAGACAGGGGAGCATATTTTAACATCCTGCAAAGTAGGGATTAAGATGATGGCTTGCCAAAAAAAACTTTCCCTGGAAAAGGACACATTTCATTGTGTGTTCCTGTGTCCTTCCTGGACCCCCTCCCCCCCAAAAAAGTCTGTGTGTGTATGTATATATATATATACACACATACATGTGTATAATATGCGTGTAGAATCATAGACTTTTTGATAACGTTTAGGGTTGTTGGCCCACCATGGTACTTACGTTTGAATTCATCTTTTGGCATATTCGCCTAAACAAGCAACGCTCCCTCGAGGCTTCTCTGTTTAGGGTTTAGGGCTCAGGGTTTATGGTTCAGGGCTAGCACTCCATGTAAATTACGGTTGCAATCAAAATTTCAGGCGGTATACCACAGTTCTTTGACTCAAACACCCCAAACCCAGACAAGAGTTGGCTAAAACCCTACTTAATTGAAGGGGCATGTTACTTACCCCTAAGGGCTCGAACCATTCAACAATCAGATACTTCCCCAAAAAATGTATTACGATTACTCGTACCACCATCCCAAGAACACAATATTTGGGCACGTGGACCGCGAAGCCCTAGGCTAAGGGATTGCAATAGGGTTCAAGGAGCTAGTAAGGACTGTAAAGCGCTTAATAAGGCCAAATGAGCTATAGTCTAAACTCCTTAAAGGGGGGTTATATGGGGGATTATATAGGGGACTATTATAGGGGTTATTAAGGGGGATACTAGGAGTTTAGACATTGGCTCAAATAGGGTTCTAAATCTGGGGGGATACCGTTGGGGGGAGTATTATTGTAATCCCTTGTTAGGGTTCTAGCCTACTTAGGAGATCCTCCTACAACCTAGGTACACCCATGGTTGCTACACTTCGGGCAACCAAACTGCTTCTATACCTACACTTGCCAAAGCTCCATTCTTGCGATACTGTTATAAGCACTAAACCGTATGTTCCTTACTGGGCTTTTCGTAGAATACACGTTCTTATCATATTTCACCAAGATCCGGAGTAAGTAGTTTACAGAAAATTTACACATACCAATGAGCAAACCTGCAGCGGGGTAGCCCTCAACCCTATGCCTTTGTAATCCTAGGGTTGGCTTTAGGGGTGAAACAATTCGGGTTTGGGGTTTCGGGAAGCAAGCAATGTATAAGAACATGGAAACTAAGTTGAGGGAGAGTCAGACGGAAACTCTAATGGAAAATCTAAGTGGTGACTACGGCTATGTAGGGACCTAAACCCTAAACCCGATTACGCAAGGATCTACAGGGGAATGGGCAAGGAAATGGAAACTCCTATATCAGAGGGGGCTATATGGGGACTACTACAGGGATCCATGGCTACTCTTAACCGTAAGCCCTCAGGGGTTGAGGGTTTAGGGTTTAGGGTTTGGGGTATTTTCTTGATAGCCAGACACTTAACCTTAAGCCCTAAACCCTAAGCCTCTAGACCCTAAGGCAGAGGGTAGGCAAGTTTGGGATTCAAGGGCGTGCAAAGTTTGTTACTGGTGTTCCTTGCGGCCTAGTGCAGTCCCCCCGAACCTATGCAGAACTGAAAGCTCCTTAGAGCTGAGGGTTTAGGGTTGAGGTGTTGGTGTCAGAAGAACAATCACGAGCTATTGCCCTACGTTAAGATTTCCAAGCCTTAGTCCTAAACCATAATCCCTACGTTTCTTTCCTAAACCCTAAATCCCAAACCCTAAACCCTATATGACTCCGTTATGCTAGCTTCTTTCCATTCCTTCATTCCCAGCTCACCAAAGGTAAGTAAACCCCCTACACCCCAAACCTTGAAGCACAGCTGGGACTGGGGCATTGCGCACCAACCCATGGGCCCCCTTCACGGGTTCAAGGTCTAGAGGTTTAGGACTTGGGGTCTAGGGTGTAGGGTTTCGGGCTTAGGGTTTAGGGTTAGGATTTTGCGTCTGGGGGTTTAGGGTTTAGAGGAATTGGGCCCTACAAATGGGGTTTGGGGTTCAACCTTACCCAGAGCCTCCCGTGTAGTTCCTCTTTGGGTAGTATACT